CTGATGAGATCCAAAAAGATCGAAATCGCGATCCGCGTCTGGCAGTTTCGACAGAATACAGACCACTTCGAATTATTTTATTCGATTAAGCTAACGTGCCTATCACGTTGAGGTTGACTACGCCAGGATTCGTTTTCAGCAAGTAGATATCCACACAAGTGGACCTTGTTGAAAAATACGTAATCCTAAAATGTAGCATCGTGCTACAGATGGCGTTCACTGTGCCGTTTGTAGTATTTTCTGAAACGTATTTGTAGCAACTTTAATATATATTCTTGTCTTGGGAGAAAACATTTTTAGTATTTAAAATTTTCATTTTGCTTTAGGTACTAGATCTTAACACTAAATACAAAAAAAAACTTTACCACTGTTTGAAAACAGGGATCCAAATTCTAAAAAATTAACTGAGCAAGACCAAGACCAAGACTAAGAACAATATCTAGACTGAGACAGTTGTTCTTGGTCTTGCTGTGCTCATTACTAATTTAAAACAATCGGAACATTAACATTCAAATATATTCAATATGCATACTAGGAGTGACTGTAATTTCATTTTCTCAAGTGCTATCAGACTCTCAAGAATCAGTAACTGGTATACGCGAACGGGTCAAAGTGATCGTGATTATTTCGTGTAATAAATTTTATAACAATGTGTCAGACGTATTATAAGAGAATTTCCGACAAACTCTGTGCAAGACATTGTGACAAACGACAGACTATAAAAGTTTCATCGGCAATTTGAAATCACAGCCGCCCCCAAAGAAATAAGCAACAACCAATAAATGTATCACAGTGCAACAGAAATGGTTTCCATGGCTTTCTACGTCATTCATTTATTTTCATCCTTCTACATTGTCACAACCGTTCAAGCGTTACAAGGTGAGAATAGTCATTAATCATTTTACATTTACAGGTAATATTGCATGCGTAGCTACCTTTTACTGTCCTTTAGCCATTAGTTAACGACCTAATAATAGAATTCAATTGTCATCGAATAACACAATGAAGTTGAAATATGCTTTACGAATATAATTTAATGTACTTCCATGGTGATTCAAACACGATAAGGGCTAGTATACAGGGTGTAACAGAAATAAAAGCTTTGGGGGATGTAAACTAGGTACACTAAACAGTCACACGGTGGCTAAGGACAACGAAAATCATAATAATTGACAATACGAAACCGGTCCTGTGCGTGAATTGGCAGCGTAGGTATTTAATACTGTGACAGAAACTCTGCATCTACATGGATGCAAAAGTAAACATTGCCGATTATCAAACGTCTAAGATAAACATAAACAATTTAGTCCTACCTATAATGTTTAGACAAAATAAATTAAATCAGTACGTAACAGGCAGCACTATGCAAATGCAGGAACACAAAAGAAAGAAAAAAAAGTTACGTAAACATTAACCGGTAAATGAACATCATCTGAATAACTGTAATTGTATTAAGGCAAATTTCAATACCATCTTCCCCTTCGGGGGTGGGGGTGGGTGGGATCGACAGAGGAGGTCTCCCCAACCACTGTACCATAAAAAGTTCGTGGCAGTCTCACCCCCATAAANTAACTGTAATTGTATTAAGGCAAATTTCAATACCATCTTCCCCTTCGGGGGTGGGGGTGGGTGGGATCGACAGAGGAGGTCTCCCCAACCACTGTACCATAAAAAGTTCGTGGCAGTCTCACCCCCATAAAAAGTTATGGGGGTTAGATGATGGTCCCCTACCCCTTGGGGGATCTAAAGAGGGTGGTCATGTGAGTAAAACCCCATAAAAAATTTGCGGTGGTTTCACCCCCATAAAAGATTATGGGGGCTGAAAGTTGATTATTTTGACAATTTTCCTACATTATAATTCAAATAAAATTCAATAAAAAAATATTTTCAAGCGGGTGGAGGTGGGGGATCGAAAGAGGGTGTTCAATTGAACAAAACCCGATAACCTAACCTAACCTAACCTAACCTACCCTATTGATAAAGATATTTAAATAATGTTTTACATAACTTTCTCAATATTTTTATGTATTTTTCAATTAGTTTTACTTCTGGATATTGTTTAAGAATGACTATATAAATATTTACATGCCTAGAAATGTATAAAAATTGGCATATTTATTAACTTTGAACCCC